TGGCAGGTGCCACCACCGGGCTTCACTGCCAGTGTCCCCTGGGGTCACTAGTGGGGAGCACCCACCTTGGGCCAGGGCCCAGCAGCTCCCATCGAGTTCCACCAGCCCGATGCCTGAGCCGGCCACCTCCCCTGAGGCTGGGCTTTGAGGTAGTTCCCTATCAGCAAGGTCCAAAAAAACAAAAGGAAAAGGCTGGCAGAGCTCAGAGGCCTCAGCCTGATGTCACCATGCAATGCCACCAAGCCACCACACACAGCCAGAGGAGAAAACAGAGCTTTTCAAACACCACGAACCACCACGCTGCCCCACCTCCTCACCACTCCCAGCATCCTGCCGTGTTTGACCAGAGAGTGACAATGAAGCTTGGCCAGAGGACTTGGTGCTTGTGGTTGGTGGCAGCCAAAGAGCTCCCAGCAACCCGGGGCTGGAGCCCCTGGGACAGACTCAGTCCTTAGCCACAGAGCAAACAGGATGGCTCCACACCCACATCAAGGTGGAGAACAAACCAAGAGCCAAGAGTTGGGGTCAGAAATTGAGATGTTGGGTCATAAAGCACAGAGATCTCTGGGCAGGACCTGACCCTCTGCTAAGCACAGGGAGGTGTGTTCTTTCTGCAGGGACACCAGGCAGGAAACCCACGGAGGTCTATGCACAGCCACATGTAGTGGGCACAGCCAGGCAGATCCAGTGTTGGGAGGCAGCACCAGGCAGAGGTGGTGGGACCATCCTCAGCACTGCCCTCGCTCTCACAGCCCATCCATCGTGTAACCACTATCCACCATGGAACCAGCACCCACCAATGCCAGCACTCGCCAAGTGCGAGAGGTCCATGCAATTCTCTGCCACACCAGAGAAGCCACCAGACTCCAGCCAAACACAAAGTCCTCCCCAGAAGGTGAAGCTCAGGTACCACCTGGCTCTCAAGACAAGCCACCAGCAGGCTCCAGAAAGCCAATCCCTCCTGCTCCAACCTGTGCCTTGCAGGGACACACAAGACATCCCCCGAACCACAGCAGCACCTCAGATCACCTGAAAACCTGCCCCAGCCTTTCCAGCCCCCCGGGGGACGACAAAGCCTTCCAGGTGCCACTGGGCGCGGGGGTGGGAGCTGCACAAGCCGCACGCACGCAAGCGGAGCTCGCCAACGGGAGTTTATTTTCAGCCGCGGCCAGAGGTTCTTCCTCCTTCCCCTTAAAACGACACCGGGCTGCGTGTGGGAAGGTGCCAGGGCACTGGGATGTCCCGGGCTCCCTGGCACGGCAGCTTCCGGCGTCCGGCTCCGAGCACACGGGCAGGGCTGGGGAGCTAGTGACAGGCTTTCATCCCTGACACGTACGGGGACTCCTGCGGCCTGCAGTTACACTCCTGCTGCTCTGGGTAATCTATGAAGTCCGGGGCAGGCAGACCCGAGAGGATCATCAAGGATTTGTTCCAGATGGTGAAGGTGGGACACACGGGGAGGATGAAGGAGACTTCGAAGGTGTGGAGGTGGAGGGAGCTGGCCGGGTCGTAGAAGGAGAGCGCGTTGTTGTCGTAATCCAGGAGGACGCCGAGGCGCTTCATCTGGGGGTGGACCTCCACCAGCATCTCCTTGTTGTTGTGCCTCACCACAAAGTTGTTGTTGCAGCGGGAGAAGACCCAAGACGAGGAGTTCTTCCCGATCCACTCGTTCTTGGGGGCCGACTTGTAAGCCACGCCGATGGCGTACCTGCAGGAGAGAAGCTTCATCAGGCACCTCCAGCCCCGGGCAGGATGAAGCCCAGCCCCGATGGCTGCTGGCACACACTTTAAGTCCACCTGACTGTGGAATCAGCACAGCAACAGCTTCAGGTGACTGAGAAGGCCCTTGCAGAGCTTTGGCTGGAGAAAAGTATCACTCCCTCCCCATACAGCCTCCTGCTGCACCTCTGCCCTGCTGTCGGGTGAGATTTGAGGCCTGGCAGTCTCTAGCAGGGTCAGCAGCTGAGGGGAATGATGCACACTTCACCATACCACCTGACCCAAAAGCTTCTGGCAGCGAGGAGAGAAACTCATAAACCTCTTGGAAGCCACAGCCACCCAGACTTAAGGTCTTGACCAACTCCCTGCCCATGAGCAGCTCTGCCAAAACCCTGGCCTTTAACCCTAATGTGTCCCACAGCATCTCTGGGAAAAACTGAGGGCTTCTAGGAGCGGGAGGGAAGGCAACAGTGCTGCCTACCAGGTCGAGGATCCCACCACCACCTCCCAGTAGTGGCAGGCGCTGTCGATGAAGACGTTTCCTGCCGCGCCGTAGCACCCTGTCCCGCTGAACCTCTCAGGCGTGTGGCTCTTCTTCAAGGAGCTCTCGTCCTTCTCCATCTGCAGCCCGTCATTGGAGATCTTCAACTTCTTGTGAGCCATCTTGGGGTCTAGCTTAAAAGGCTGACCTGTTAGAACAGGAGACACAGATTAGGATTTATGTTTGTTACCATCACAGTGTAGGCAGAACGTGGCAGGGAGGGTCTGCCCCAGGCCCTCTGGACATCTTCCATGAGCCAAAGGCTTCTCCACCAGCTGAGGACGGTGGTGTAACAACACTGAGTGACAGAGCAGGGCTGCAGCAAGGAGCTCATCCCCGACTCCCCATCAGCAGCCAATGCCAACTGCTCCCCACAGTGCATGGGCTGCTATCACATGCCATACAATGCATGCCCAAAGTTTTGCAGCCCTTTTCCACTGCCAAAGAAGGTCTTCGTGCATGGAGAAGACAGTCTGGACTGTGCAGGCAGCAGTGGAAGCACATCAAAGGCATGGGGTCCAGCCCGTGCTTGGTGAGGCTGGGAGGGGGTGAGAGCACAGGGCCGGGCAGGCAGCTCACGCCCCGGGCCTTCCTCTGCAATTAGCAGGGCTGAGCCTGATGGATTTTGCAGATCTTTAAAGCTGCTTGAACCCATCAGCTGCAGTTCCTTTGTGGCAGCACCAGCACTCAAAAGCCAAAGAGCTCCTCACTGACACACAGGGGCCCTGCCTGCTGTGGGAAACCTGCCTGGCCCCCTGGCAGCACCTGCCCTCCCTGCATCCACAAACACCATCCTTCTGATGGTCTCCACTCCCTGCCCAAAGGGGAAGGTGATCTTCCCCTTCCTTCCCAGATTCCTGGAGCTCTCCAACCCCCCCAGCCCTGCCTGGCTGAGAGCTGGGAGTTCTGGTGGTTCTTCCCATCCATTCTCATTAACAAATACGCTCTGGGCTGGTCACTCAGGTAAATTTTGTCTCAAGAAATTCAGCCTATTGGAATATTCCCTACAGCCCTCACTGGTTCATCCATTCACATTGCCTGCATGGAAGCAGCACCCTCTGGGGGGGTTAATCAGCTTAATTACGCTTCCTTTCCCTGCAAAGTCACAAGTGTTGCAGTGTCTGAGCAGAGGGGAGGAAATCCTGACTGGCCTTGGGTGTGCAGGAGCAAAGAGGGAGGAGAGGGCAGCAGCCCTGCTCCAGGGAAATGTTCAAGGTTAATGAAGCAGGTCAGCAGTGCCAGGAACAGGGGGTGGGCAGAGGGAGGAACTGGCTGCTGGAGCTCCCCAGGAGCTGCAAGGGCTCCTGCCACCCTGGCTCTGCCTGCTGCTGTTTGCCCCAGGAAGAGGTGCAGGAGGGAGGGAGCTCAGGCAAGGGGATGTGGCTGTGAGCCCTGGAGCTCTCACCAGGAGAGGCATACCTGGGGAAGAGAGGGAAATATGAGTGAGAACAAGACCAGCCTGCAGCCATCAAGGCAAGGACCGTAAAAACCACCTTCCCTGCACTTCATTTACTAACCAGAGTGGGAATTGCCCCTGCATTCTGGCACTTCCATCCACTTTTGGACAACTGCTAATACACAAGACATCCTGAGGCCCAGACTCAGCAAAGAAAGGTTATCTCTGTCACTAAACCAAAACTATTCTCCCAGCTCTTCAGCTCGGGCAGTTTGGGAATGCAGATTTTGTGCCAGCACTGACAGCACTGATGCCACAGAAACCAATGTGTCCTGACAGTGACCTTCTGGAGCTGAAGGAACCTCTCCACACATCCCCTCAGGAGCAGGAAGAGGGCTCTGAAATATGCTCCTCGGCCCATCTCCTCATCAAGATGCTGACACTTCTGCCAAGGTTGCAGCAGTTGAAAAGTGTGCCCTGTCTTCTAACTGCAGCCTGGAGAAGGGGAAAACCTGGTTGCCACACAAGGACAGAGAGGCAGGAAAAGGGCTGGGAAGGACAGGCCAGGGTGGCTGCTCCAGCTGGGACCACCCCAAAGGTGAGGAGCAAACACCCCAAAGCAGCCCCTGCGCTCTGAGGATGGCTGCAGAAAGAAAACAGGTATTATACACATAGATATTCCTAAATGAAATGTTTGTAAGTTTCCCTAAAGACCTTTCTGTGAGCTGCAGATAAATGCCAACCCAGCAGCGAAGGACGCCTGCCCGGTAGCTCCGTGCATCAGTCCCTCCCGTGGCCCGAGCAGGAGCCGCTGGGACCAGCTCCTCGGTCACCCAGCCTTCAGAAAGCAGCTCCTGGCACATCCAAACCCAGGACCAGACACAAGAATCTGTGCATTGCTCCAGGTGAGGCTTGCTTGGCATTGCAAACACATGGGGAGCTGCTGCAGACACTGCCGTGCAACCAGGGGAGTTCAAAACTTGATTGGGCTCTTATTCAATCTCCTAAATTGAGTTCATCTCCAACAAGGAGCTCCTAGCAGTGTGACTGACACTCAGTTAAAGCATCCAAAGAGCAAACCCTCTCGGCAGCTCCTCTCCACCCCCACCACCTCTACTTAATTTCATTTGCTTTAGAGCTGCACAAATGCCGAGGTGATAAATCAGCTGGAAAGCCCAGTCAAGGTAGGAGTGATGGACAAGGAGCACACGGGAGGGCTGAGGAGCCACACGGGAGGACTAAAGAGGCACACGGGAGGACTAAAGAGGCACACGGGAGGACTAAAGAGGCACATGGGAGGACTAAAGAGGCACACGGGAGGGCTGCGTTCTCCTGGGCTGGGCAGGGACGGCCTCTGTGAGCATCAGGAGACCCAGCCATGGAGCAGGGGCTGTGGGCAAAGCCCCGAGAGCCACTGATTTCTGCCTCCCCATTTCATTCTCTGTCCTGTGATGTCCCCCAGGCAGCAGGTGCCAACAGCCCTGGGGTTTTTGCTACCCCCTCCCCTTGCAAACCCAGGAACTCCCCCCTGCCAGGATGGTCCTGCTCTGCTGCTCTCATTTGTGATTGAACCTCACTCATGTTTCCATTAACACCTTCAACCCTCCCTGGGGTGATGTGGCTTTGCACATGGCTGCAGACCCCCCTCCACAGAGCCCCCCGCTCACAGGCTCTGCTCAGTCTCCTTGGGGCTCCTCAGAACTGCAATCCACCGTGAGCAAAACACCAGCACACGATTGCCCCAGGACCCCACACATTGGCCCCAGAAAGCCCAGTGATGTAAAGCACCCAGAAGGACAGACCTTCACACTCTCCCAAAACCCCAGTGGTCCTGGAAACCCATGGGGATGGGCACTGATGGGAGCATGGGGCTGATGGGAGCCCCAGCACTGTGTGGAGCAGCAGGAGCCCATCCCTGGAGGCAGGGAAGGAGCTGACACACCGAGTGAGAAGGGCATGTTAAATAACTGAAATAACCCGGGGTCTCCACCAGGCTGCCTGGAGCCGGGGGCTGGCAGGGAGCAGCTCTCCCACCCCCAGGGCCAGCCCAGGCACCTACTGTTTGTCTTGAGGCGGGCGGGTTCGCTGTTCCTGCTGCCCGCCTGGTTGATGGCCTTGACCAGGAAGATGTAGCGGGTCCCGCTCTGCAGCCCGTGCACCGTGTAGTGGTTCTGCTTGATGTTGGGGACGATCATCCAGCTGTCCATGGAGTTGTAGAGACCTGCAGAGCGGGAGAGGGGGAACAATTTATTCTCAGGAAAGGACAGGGTACAAAGACCACCTGCTGCTAAGGCAGAGCTGACCGACCACACATCCCTCGGGCTGGTTCATCGCCTGCCTGGAGTTGGGAGCCCCTGCAGGAGCATTCCCATAGATGATGAATCCCAGCAACTCAAAGAACCTTTTCTATAATCACACAAAGGCAACGCTCGATACAGCAAAGCCAGGGATGGGCACTGGTATCTCCAGATGCTGCCATGGGAAGTGGTGGGGAAAGGGCAGGCAGGGAAATTCAACTGGTGGCACCTTCCAGCCACGGCTGGAGAAATGCTGCAGATCTCCTGTGCCAAGGCTTCCACTGGGGGGTTAGTTATCCCTGGTGGCTTGCTCAGCCAGAAGACAAGGGCAGGTTGCAGTCCTTGTCAGCCTGGATTTGGTTTAAAATATACATGGAGCTGGCCTAGGGGAGCAGAGCAATGTTATTTGAAGTAGAAAATAAACCAGATGTGATACTGCTTGCATACCTCAGGCAGAGCTGCTCCCACCCGAGCAGCTTTCAGCCAAGCACTGGTAGGTGTTATTCCCCTGCAGACACAGACCAGCTTTGGACAAGGCAGCTGAGAAACAACAGTCTGAGAACAACTTGGACTCCCAAGCAGGTTTCTTTCCCAAAACAACCAAGAATGGGTTGGCCTTGAAGACTAAGGGCTTCTATTCTTGCCAAAATTAAAAAAAAAACACTTTTTTTGCAACTTTCGTCATCCATAAAAATGTCCAACTCCTGCTGAGCTCTTGGCTTTAAAGAGAGCACGAAGGGGATGGTTTCCCCAGGCCAACTGTGTGCTCTTCAAGAAGGTATTTCCTTCCATGGAAGCCTCCTCATGCTCTCCTAGGTGAGCCTGAACACACCATTTCCAGTGTTTCCTCAAGTGTGAGTTCAGCCAGGACTCAAACCTCTCCTCTCATCACCCAGACCTGACTATGCTACTGCAAGTGACAATATATTATTAATCTTATCCTCTGAGACACTAACTGATGATTTCTTTACTCCTATGCAGAGCTACCAAAGATGGCCAAGGAAGACACTCCTGGCAGGGGAGATGGAGGTTGTGGCCATGGAAAAACGGAGCCAAGGAGGCTGCTGAGCTCTCCCAGGCTTCAGGGAAGAGCAAAAGGCTGGAGACATGTTGGAGGGAGGAGCTGAGCAGGGGAAATCTTGCTGCCTTTGCACCCAGTGCCTGTAACTAACCTGATTGAGAGGAAATAAACCATCTTGTTTCCAAAAGTTCTATCAGCTCTGAAAGTCACTAGCAATGACTTTCTCTGGCAGCTCCCTGCATACTGTCAAGTGCAGGTAACAGCCTTCCTGAGCCTTGACCCTGCGCTCCCAGCACCAACGGCCTCGGGACCAGGGAGATGAACTGACAGCAGCCCAGACATCCGCAGGAGGGTCTTGTCAGTGCTTCCTATAATGGTTAAGTCCTTCTAAGGAAAACCAGGGATAAAAGTTTCCTGCAAGAGCCCTGCTGTGGGAATGCTGTGCTTTTCCAAAGCACTGCTTCAGGATGGACAAACTTAAGCTGTATTTTTGTTCTCCCATTAAAACATCCATTTTCTTTTTTTCCTTATATGAAACCAGCAGTTTCCCTGGACTCACTCCTAGAACCCAGCCCATAAGTTAACTTTCCTCCAGAACACAAACCCACTCCAATTTCAGGAAAAAACGCAGGGTTATACAGGAATCATAAGAGGGATGTATCTCCAACGCATTGAGGACTCCTCTCCTCATGGAAGGTGAACAGACATTGGAATGCACTGCTCAGGGAAGTGGTGGAGGCACCATCTCTGGAGGTGTTCAAGGAAAAGCTGGATGTGGCACTTAGTGCCATGGTCTGGAGATGTGGTGGTACAGGAATCATAAGAGGGATGTATCTCCAATGCATTGAGGACTCCTCTCCTCAAGGAAGGTGAACAGACATTGGAATGCACTGCCCAGGGAAGTGGTGGAGGCACCATCCCTGGAGGTGTTCAAGGAAAAGCTGGATGTGGCACTTAGTGCCATGGTCTGGAGATGTGGTGGTGTCAGGTCATAGGCTGGGCTTGATGGTCTTAAAGGTGTTTTCCAGCCTTGGTGATTCTGTGACTCTCCAGGCACCCTGCTGCTGAGGCTGGGAAATAGTTCTGAAGCAACCTACGGTCCCCCCAACCCGACCAGCGCACGGGGACTTACTGATGAAGTTGGCCTGGCCAGTGAAGATGGTGTACTGCAGCTCGTAGGAGCTGACGCTGAACTCGTCCTCCGAGATCCAGTGGACGGTGATGGTGTCGTGGGAGGCTGTGCAGAGCTCCTCGCGCACCGACGGCGGGTTGGGCGCTGCGGGGGCAACAACACACCTCCCTCAGCTTCTGCTTCCTCTCCTTGCTGCACCTAAGGCTTCTCTGCTCCCTGAAGGGCAGAGACGGGCTCCTGTGGGGAGCAGGGGCTCTGGACACAAAAACCCGTCTCATCCTTAGCGCGCTGGTCCCTGCTCAGAGCAGGGAGGTTGGAACCTGATGATCTTTAAGGTCCCTTCCAACCTTCACCATTCTATGATTCTGTGATTCTATGATTTGATCTGTAATTGCTCTTTTCATCTAACTAAATTCTTTATTGTGATAAGAAAATACCCAGGGACCAGTGTGCCCTCAGGTGTAACAGAAAAAGGGGTTTTCCACCAGGTCTGACACCCCGACCCTGAGACAAGCTGAGAAGCCACTTCAAAAGCCACCTATGTCTCAGGACATGTTGTGGAATAAGTATTTTGTCCCATAGCTGTTCCAGACCTGAGTTTGTCATTAGTCTTTCCCTGCAGCTGCTCTGCCTCACAATGAAGAAAATCAGATTTGGGTGAGTAATGATGACTTTGTTTCTCCAGAGCTTTCATCCCTGCCCCTGGTTTTCCAGCAGCATTTGGCTGTGTCAGGGTTGCTCCTGGACACCCCAGGCCAGGGTAGTGTTTAACCTGGGCCACCAGGGCAGCACTCACAGGCCCAGCAAGGTCTCTGTCCTTGGGAATTCCCTATTTAGCACCAAGAGACCCACAGAAAGGGCAGCACAAGTAATTTTTTACCAGATTTCTGGACTTTTCTACCTACCCTGCAGGAGAAGCAGAGTGCAAACAGGAGGACAGGGAAATGTCCTGGGGACAGCACAACCTCTGCTGTGCCACAGCCAACTGGGCATTTCTTACTGGTGAGAACAGGTGACAATTTGTTTGCTTTATAACCCCCAGCAGCCCTTGGTGGGTGCAGGGAAGGGCCACGGGGAGCACAGCTCTGCACCCACCTGTCAGATAATCCAGCCCCTCCAGCAGCTTCTTCTCTCTGGAAAAATCTAAAGCGAAGTTTTCAAAGGCATCATTAAAATTGATATCTGGTATCAGAACTTGAGAGGATGCGGTTGCCATGGCGACCCTGAAAGAAAAGCAGAGCCCGTCAGGAGGCAGCGGGTGCGTCACTCCCCACAGCCTGTGCTGGGGAGACTGGGACTGACCGGGTGCGAGCGGCTGAGACCCATCACCCAGCACTTCCCATCGGGAAAGGGGCTCACACCTACTGACCACTGCTCTGGTCCAGAAGGGTGGCCCAGTCCGAGGACAGCTTCCCCAGAGAGAAGGGGAGCTCCATCCCTGTGGGGGTCCCAGCCCTGCTGCCCACCAAGCTCCCTTTGGACTGACATGTCACCACTCCCTCCACCCCCAGGAATTACATTTGCTCCCACAGCAGATGTTCAGCTTTGTCAGGACCTGCCACACAGCTCCTGTCCTGCACGGGATGGGAACCAGGACACCTCTGAGCCCAGCTCAGAGGCTGCAGGGGGGCAGATGTCCCTGGGCAGGGAGCTGTGACCAGGGGACAACTCCGGTGCCACCCACCAGCATCCCGAGCCATCCCACCTCTCGGCCACGTTCCTGGCCGTCTGCAGGAACCGCGCGTGGTCGTTCTCCTTCAGGATGTGCTCTGCCTGGTTGATGAGGACGGTGGAGCGTTCCAGGCACTGCCGGCAGTTAGCGACCTGCTGGGCCAGCTTCCGCAGCTTCATCACCTGCTGGGAAGCAGAGGGGGCAAAGGTGCTCAGAAGCCGCTGGCAGCTTGAAAAGCGCCCCGAGGAAACCCTACCCTAAGCCACAGGCTGCTCAAGGGAAGCGAGGAGCAGAGAATCAGCTCGGGAATGTCCCCAGAGGCTCTGGGGAGGCAGAGCAGCAGTGCACGTTCAGGGTTAGCTTCGTCTTGCAGGTGGGAAAGGCCCGTGGGCTTCTCAGCATCTCACCTCGGGTGGGTTTCCAAAGACACACGTGTGATGCATCCAGGAAATGCTCTTTCTCAGAATGACTGGAATAAAAGATCCCTGAGGCCTGGGCAGGGTTTCCTTATGCCAAAGGTGGGTTGTCCAGGAACACAGCAGGCATCACCCTTCGGGCACCCTTGCTTAGCACTCCTCACTCCCATCCATCACCAATACAAACCTCAGGCTGCTGCTCTGGTCCTTACACCTCTCTTGCTGCCCCATGGAGGTGGATTTGCTCCGTCTCACAGGCACCAAGGCTCCCTGGGATGGAGTGGCCAGTTCCTCCCAGGACCACAGTCCAGCTGGAGACAAACTGCTGCCTTGGCATTTTTGCCTCCATAGACTTTCTTTCTCAGGGCAGGGGTTGACACTCTTCCCAATGCTTCCATGCATCCATCAGGTCATGTGTCAGGAAAAGCAGCCCAGAACAAATGGCAAACCAAATGGCAGTTCACAAGGAAAGCA